ATGCACACTGATACTTTCTATTCTATTTTAAATAATTCAGTTTTAAAAACTGAAGTTTTAAACTTTACAGGCCACTCAATTTATTTCATAACATCTAAGAAGTCTAGCCCTCCATTTGAAAAATACTGGTCTAGGCTATATAGAGAGTAGGGTTGCTCAACCATAGGTTTTATGCATCTTTCCTGTGCTCTACTTTTCAGCCAACTCTTGGCTTTTGTTATCAATCTCACAGGTATTTTATGATATCTTTTTGTCTCAATTTACATTTTCTCTCACTCTACCAATGTAGTTGAGTACCAGTTCATGTTTGCTAGTCACTTATGTCTCTTTTTCCTCTTTATTCCTATTTTTTCCTACAGAATGTTTTGTTTCAATTCTTTTTTTAAACATATTTTAAGAGTTTCTTTCTTTTTACTTTAAGAGAGACAGAGAGAGTACAAGTGGGGGAGGGGCAGAGAGAGAAGGAGACAGAGAATCCCAAGCTGACCTCACACTTTCAGTGCAAAGCCTGATGTGGGGTTTGATCTCACAAAACATGAGATCATGACCTGAGCTGAAATTAAGAGTCAGATGCTTAACCAACTGAGCCACCTATGCACCCTACTTTCATTTCTTAATTGGTTTTTAGAAGTTCTGTATATTTTCTGGATCTGCATCTGGATCTGAATCTTTTCTTTCAATTATGTGTTACAGATGCCTTCTCCAAGTCCATGGCTTCTTTCCCCCACTATGTTTGTGTCGGAAATTCTTAATTGAAATATAATGAAATTTATCAAACTTTTTTAAAATGGTGGTACTTTTTGTGTTTTGCTTAGGAAATCCTTTTCTGTCTTGGGGGTCATAAAATCTTTACATATTTGCATTTCACTTTAAGTCTTTAATCTATCTGGAATTGATTTTATTTATAGTGCAATTAGGAATCCAATTTCTTTTCTATAAATATACATATGTTTATATATTTGTATATAAAATTGCTTTGATTCCTCCCCACATCTACAACATCATTTCTGTCCATATGTGTATGACACTATACTTGGTTCCATTGGTTTGTTTATCTACAACATACATACATGCACCAGTAGCATATACTCTTAATTACAGACCTTTATAATAACGTCCCTCTGCTTGTTCATCAGAAGGGTCTTGGTTATTATTGGTCCTTTTGTGTCCACATTTCAGAGTCAGCTTACCAGATATTAAGAAAATCTCCATTGGGGTTCTGATTAGAGTTGCTAGAATTGATAGATCAATTTGGGGAAAATTGACACCTTTGCAATACTGACTCTTTCTCTCCAGAAGCATAATATGTCTGTCCATTTATTTAGGCCTTCTCTAATGATCTTGAATAACATAATCTAAAAAGTGTTGCTTTTGTATATAATAGAGGTCTTCACATATGCTCATTCACATGCATGGCAATATAGCATAACATCTAAATATTTTACTAAAAGTATAAACATCTCACCTGTTTTCCTTGAGATACAGAGAATGGGAAATTGTATGCTTCATGTACAAAAGAAAGGACAAGATATACATGAGCATTCTTACAACCAATGTATTAAAAGCTGATCCAGAATGCTAGCCTCCACTTTTCAGCTTGAGATCATTGTCTTAGTAATACTGCATAAAAAGCTTTTTCTTAAGTGCTAAAAATTCACATCACAATTCAAAGTTCACTTTTTTTCCCCTTGAGACTCTAACTGAATTAATATATCTCTGTCCAGACATTGCAGATTTTTTTTTTGATAAGAATAAAAATGGTCTGGCTCAGATATCAAAATGGAAAATCGGTAGAGCAAGTGCCAGATTACATTAAATTTGATTACATCCAGAATACTCAAAGAGAATTTTATTTGTTGTTACTTACCTAGCTTTTTTCCTAGCCATTTTGGTTCTCTAATGTAGTGAGCTATTGAAGCATTTGTAAAAGGAGGTATTCTTCAGTCCGTGAGAAGCTGAAACTCCAACCAATCCTCTGGTGAATTTCACTCTAGATGGCCACCATAGTCTCTTTGCTTGTGTGCTTTAAACACTAAGTTTAAGTCTCCCCAAATTCTTTGTTTTCTGTCTTGGTTATTCCCAACCACCAAGAATTACTTATGTTTTTATTGTTTAATATAGAAGCCAATCCATTTTCAGTTTTCAACTCTTTGTACTGGACAGTGACATTAAAAATTAGAAGCATTTAGGGGAATCTGGGTGACTCAGTTGATTGTCGAACTCTTGATTTCTGCTCAGGTCACGATCCCGGGGTCACGGAATCAAGCTCTGTGTTGGGCTTCGTGCTCAGCGTGGAGTCTCCTTAAGATTCTCTCTTCTCTCTCTCTCTCTCTGCCCCTCTTCTCAGTTTGTGAGCACTCTCTCTCTCATTGTCTCTAAAAAAGTTAGAAGCGTTTAATATTCATGTTTAAGTGTCATGTTTTTTCTAAGGTATGGAACTTCTTTTTGCCAAAGGATAACATTAGCCTATTGCTTTTTGTCTGTGGTTCTTTCTGCATCCTTATGGATTCCTTAACTCCCCCCCCCCTTTTTTTTTCTTAAGCTTAAGCTGAAAATCTCCCCCTGAAGTTGTTTGAGGCTTGTTCAAATAGTACCTAATTCCACTGGATCTCCTTACTGATTTACGAAATTTCCCCTCTACACTTATTAGGAACAAAGTGTTGTTAATGCTTCTATAAATACCATCATTGGAACTGATTGGGATCTTTAGGAGTCAGAGGTTTATTTACTTCTAATTACTTGAATTAGTGTCTCTGTTCAGTGCTTCAGGGAACCTACTAATTTCAGTGTCATTTGCTTCTTTGGGGCTTAGCAGCTGCTTTGTGGAAATAAAGGTTAATGGCTTCGTTTAAATGCAGTACATCTGGGGCAATTTATGAATCTGATGTGTGGTTTTCCTTCATGTCAGGAATAGATGCTCTTCTTTTTCCTGTATGGAAGGCACTGCTTTCTTTTATCTTTTTCTTTTCTTCTTTCACTCTTTCTTTCTCCCTCCCTCCCTTCTCTTCCTCTCCCTCCATCTTTCTCTAATACACTCAAGTGTTTCATGTGGCTTTTAAAGTTTCACTTCAGTGTGGACTTCGCCATGTTTATTTTACTTGTTATTCACATAGCATTTTGTACTTGCAAATTTCTCTTTCATCAAATTTAGGGCAAGTTTTTAATTTCTTCAATTGTTGTACTGCCTCATTCTCTTTCTTTTCTCCTTCTGGTATTCCATTTACGTGTATGCTGGATTGTTTGATGTCATGTAGCGGGTCTCTGAGGCTCTGTTACATTTTTTAAAATGATTTTTGTTTGTTGTTCATCTTGAACGATTTCTTGGATGATTACCTTCAAGTTCCCTTAGTTTTGCCTCTGTAATTTCTATTTGGCTGTTAAATCTACCCAGTGAAATTTTATATATGTGAAATTTTGATTTTCAGAATTTCCATTTGGTTCTTTTTTCTCTCTCTCTCATGAGATTTTTGTCTCCTGAGATTTTATTTACTGAAAACACGTTTTGTTTTACTTTATTGAGGAGAGTAATTTTAAAATCCTTATCTATCAGTTTCAACATGTGATTCATCCCAGAGTCAAACTAAATAATGTGATCCATTTTAAGTTTCCTATGTCAATAATTTTTACTCATAACTTGGGTTTTATGAAGGACAGAATGTAGAGGTTCTGGATTCTATTATTTTTCTATGATGAAAGTTATTTTCTTTGTAGGTAATTTTCTTGGATGGATTTGAACTGTAAATTTTGTCTCTTGGGGGCAACTCTGGTCTCAGTTCAGACATTTTATGTTGAACCGAACTGCTGATTCTGTTTCTGGTTGTTCAGGATCTGTCAGAGATGTGAGCAGAATTAGAGGATCCCCCTCTCTGGCTTATTCCCTTCCAGGATTTTCTAGTCTTTTCATCATTCAGTTTCCTGGCTTCATTCTTCTGGTTCACCAGACAAAGCAAAACAAAACTCAGAGGTTTTCTGCATGTACCTCTGATGCTGCTGAGCCTGACTCCTGGACTGCACTTAGCTTCAAGTTGAATGCCAAGGAAAGGGGAACTTCCTTATATATAGATCCTCATCTGCCCTTCTCCCAGTGAACTTGCCCTTCCTACCAGAGTCAGTATGCTTCTGTTCATATTCCAGTATATTTAGGTAGTTGCTTTTAGTATTTTGTACAAGTTTTATAGATGTTTTCTGCTGGGTGATTGTCTAGTAGGGTTTTAGTCTGTCACATGTGAAAACAGAATCTTATCCCTTCCTGGGACTTTGAACTTGTTGCCTTGGTTAATCCCATAGCCTCCTATTTCTACTCTTGCCCTCTTAGGTCTATTCTCAGGAGGGATCCTGTTAAAACGTAACAGGAACTTCCAGTGTCTCCCCATTTCACTCACAGTAAAACCATAAATGCTTAAAATGTCCTACTCTGCCTATCCGAAACTCCTCATCTTTGGCTTCCAAGTCACATGCTCACAGTGCTTTGCATCATACTTTTCTGACTGCTCATTCAACAAGTCTATGCTTCAGTCTTTGTTCCTCTAATCCTGAAAGGTGGGTCCAGCTTAAAAACATGCTTCCTGGCAGTCTGGTCTTTCTTCTTTCTACTTTCTTCTACAGAGACCTCATTGACTTCTACACTTTAAACTTAACATGACAGGGCAATGAATGAGGCTTCTCCTTTTCTCCGGAGGAGACCTGCAGCCAATGCTGAAGGCAAAGAGGCCTTAAGTGTTCCCCACTTTCTCAACGGGGCCGCAAATAACACTGCTGTAAGGAGAATTAAGGGCTTCTGGGTTAAGGGTATTCTTGAACTCTCTTCCCCCAAGCATCTGTCCAGATTTGAAAGAGCGCTGAGGGAAACTAGAGCGCCTTGGACCGGGCTCTGGCTCCGTGGGCCTGACGGAGGAGCACATGGAACTTTCCTCCTCCAAGGATCTGTGCCCGCTCCGCCAGGAGGCAGCGCGCGCCGGGAAGCGGAACTCAGCCGCGCGCGCCGCTGCTTCCGGCCGGGCGCGGGGCGCGGTGCACCAGCGGCTCACAGCCGAGCCTGGCATGGAGGACCCAAGCGGCCCCGAGCCCACGCCGGGCTGCAGCGGCCTGGGCCCGGGCGGCGGCGGCGGCGGCGGCGCCCACTCGTGGGCCCCGGAGGACGCGTGGATGGGCACCCACCCTAAGGTCAGAAGGCGCGAGAGGATCGGGGCGCCGGACCGGGCCCCTACCCCAGGTGGAAGGCCGCGCAGCCCCTTCGACCCCCGACTCTCCCGCGGGGGCCTGGGCGCCGAGTTTGCGCGCGAAGCTCGCGGAGGGGGACCCGCGTGCACACTGTCACGAGTTTGAACTATTGCTGGGACACCCTATCCCGGCACACACAAACACACACACATGCTCTCCCATTCGAGGGCAAGACATGAAATCCGGCGCCTCTCAAGCCAGAGTCCAGTAATAACCTAGGGCTCCTTCTGGGAAGGGTCTCATTTAATCCTCGCAGTAACCCCAGAACCACAGCACAAACAGTCTGCGAGCCTTGGATGAATACAAAGATAAAGGTTTAGGCACAGCCACGTTTGCCCTTTCGCCTTGAGCCCGGAGCGTGCCTTGTGATTTTGCCGAAGTGCGAATTCCTACTTTTTCTAATAGCTTGTAAAATTTGAATACATTCTTCTCCAAAGCAGAACTGCTCGGCATTGTGGGTGTATTTTTTTTTTTTTTTTTGGAAAGCAGGGAAGAAGATAAGAGTTTCTTGCTTGCTTCTGCTTGGCAGATTGCTGTCTTGGACCAGTAGTGTCCCGGACAGTGAATGGACAATGAATGGAGATGGGGGTTTTGTAGGCGTCTCTGGTCTAGGGGAGCAGTATGTCATAGATAATTATCTAAAAACAGTCCAGGAAAGAAACATTTTCGAAGAATAGGAATCTGAAAAGAGTTCACCCTTTTCCATGTTCTCTTTCTTGATTTTGTCCTCCTCCTCTGTCCCCTTATTCCTGGTCAAGGTGAGAAAAACAAACATGGAGGTGTTACTTGGTGCCATAAAAAGAAACAGATATCATATCATATGTTTTTGCTTTTATGTGGAACTTGAGAAACTGAACAGAAGACCGTGGGGGAAGGGAAGGGGAAAAATAGTTACAAGTAGAGAGGGAGGAAGCCAAACCATAAGAGACTCTTAGATACAGAGAACAAACTGAGGGTTGATGGGAGGGTGGGGGAGAGGAGGAAATGGGTGCTGGGCACTGAGGAAGGAGCTTGTTGGGATGTGCAGTGGGTGTTGTATGTATCATGAGAATAATGAGATGAATCATGAGAATCCACCCCAAAACCAAGAGCACACTGTACACACTATTTGTTAGCCAACTTGACAAATTATATTAAAAAAAAAAAAAAAGAACCATAACACCATTGAGGAGTAGGAACCCAATAGTTCTCTGCCTGAGACATCGAGTAGACTGCCTGACTTTGAAAACCTGTTATGTCACCACCAGCTTTGTGATTTGCGGGGGAGGGGGTCCCGGGGGGAAGTTTTCAAATCTCATTGTTCCTCAGTTTCCTCATCTGTAAAATGGGGGATAGTAATAGTACTTGCTTTAGAGGGTCGTTCCAGAAATAAATCAATTAATGTAAAGCACTGAACATTAGTAAGTACTATGTAATATATATAAAATATATATAGTATGCAACATCAATTTCATTATATTGGTCTCATGCTTAGAAGTCCTCAGTGTTTCTTTATGGGTAAACTTCAAGACCCTGGCAACCTGGTCTCCAGTCACCTTTTCGTTGTCATTTTCAAGCATGCCTGAGGTGTGAGGGGGACAATTAATAAAACCCCTGCTCTCCTGTACCTGTACATACTATGGCAAAGCTAGTCAGAGAAAGGACCGAAGGTCGTACCCATGCGGGTCTGCCGATGCCTCATCTCTACTTTAGGCCTGCTTACCCACTGAGTCACTGGGACCGTTGGAAAACCTCAGGCTTCCCTTGCAGGGGTAGCCCACTGAAGAACGTTCCCCCAGCGCTGTCCAGCAGACTTTCTTCACAGGCAGTCAATCAGAGACCGTGGAAATAGTGGCCCCCACAACCATGCTGCAACAGAAATCCTATTTAAAAAGTATCTCAGGGCACCTGGGTGGTCTCACTCTGGAGTTTGGCTCAGGTCATGATCTCATGGTTCATGAGCTCAAGCCCCACATCAAGCTCTGCTCTAACAGAGTGGACCGTGTTTGGGATTCTGTTTCCCTCTCTCTCTGCCCCTCCTCCACACACTCACACACGCATGCACGCACACTCTTTCTCTCTCAAAATAAACATTTAAAAAATTTTTTTAAAAAGTCTCTATTCTTGGCAGATAGGCCCTTGAGTATGTGTGACTTATCCCCACCTGTGTGTGATTATTCACACTTTTACTTTGGCTTCTCTATTTCCTCAAATCATATCTGCCCTTCAGGGCCCAACTGGTATCTGCCTCTGACATGAAATATTCACCAACTGATCCACCCAGAGTAGAGCTCTGACTTGTGTCACATTTTATTCTACACACTGGATTTTGCATCACTTACTGTCATGGGTTCTTATTTGCCTAACAATTGCAAGTGTGCATGTGTTTGCCTTAACAGTTTCTAAGCTTTTTAGAGATGGGGATCAGATATTAATTGCCTTCTAACTCCCACTACACCTAGAAGAAAGTCTTCTACTTTTTTATTTGTGTATAATGAGCAGTTGATCAAGTGAAAGAAAATATTAAGAGATTCTCCCTTCTCTGACAATTACATTTTCATTTCCAGTATTTAGAAATGATGGAATTAGATATAGGAGATGCCAGCCAAGTTTACATAGCATTCTTGGTTTACCTCGACCTGATGGAGAGTAAGTTTTTTGTTTTATTGTTTTGTTGTTGGGGCTGTGGTGGGGGGATGGGGAGTTGGGTTGGGATGTGGCATTTATGCATTTGCTGTTCACTTTGTCAGTTTTGTAATTTCATCATTCCTTTGGGAATTACTGGGTAACAGAGAATATTAGAAAATAAAGAGAAGATAATAGTATGGGTAATGTTTGCTCAGCGGAGTATTAGGTAGGAGTTTAGAATTTTATCTTTTTGATTAACATTAGTGTCCATTCAATGATGTACTTTCAGGTAAAAGTTGGCATGAAGTCAATTGTGTGGGCTTACCAGATCTGCAGCTCATCTGCCTTGTCGGGACTGAGGTAGAAGGAGAAGGATTACAGACTGTGTTGCCTACACCCATCAGTGCGTCCCTCAGCCATAACAGGTGTGCGGGGGATTTTGGTCTTTAACACCTTGGTTCCTTTCCACCAGCAGTCATTAAATTCAGGTAGTAAATATTTGTAAAGGACTTTAGGGTACAGAGGTCATAGCTTTACTCTGGGTTATTTGAGGAATGACTTAAATATAAACTTTTAACAAATATTTAGCACTTCTTGTATGGTCAGTTCTTTTTCAGAAAAGGAATATATATGTTAGAAGTACTATCCTTAAGGAAACAGACGATGTTTAAATTCTTATAAGGAGTCAAGACCATTACAGTGGAAACACAGCTACTTAAAGATGTACCATAATAATTGATACAGATCATATATGCTTTAGATGTTGGGGAAGAGTGTGATTAACCTGCAAGTTGAAGTCAAAGAAAGTATCATGCAGTTCATGGGAGCTTTTTAAAAAATCTTAGTTTCACAGAGTTGGGAAACATATCTTTATTTCATGACATATTCTTCAGTCAACCTCCCAAAACAAAAGTAGATTCTTGGCAGTAACTTACATCTAACTTTATGTGGGTCCCCTCCTTCCCTGTTTCCACTGTCCCAAGGTTAACTCCTCCTGAATCCCTTATTCATTGGGAATTTTTAAATTGTACATCTTTTTAACTTTATAAAGGGCATAGAATCTTTTTGAGGCCAACTTTATGCACTCTGCATTATACCGCTGAAATTCACCCCATGTTATGTATGTATATTATATTCCATCACGTGATGGTACCATAGTTTTCCCATGCACCCTCCTGATGATGGAGTGTTGCTAACGTTCAAATTTAAGGTGTAATTTCAAACTATTTTCCAAAGTGGTTGCCCCACTTCACTTTCTGCCTGCAGTGTAAACAAGATCTTTTGGAGGAGTATTGTCTCTGACACTGAGTATTGTCAGACTTTAAGATTTTTGCCAGTTGAATGGGTTATCTCATGATGGTGTTCATTTGCATTTTTCTGATCTCTGATAATGAAGATTTATATTTATTGTTTCCTCTCGAATATATTTATTGTTCATATACTTTGCCTATTGGATTGTTTGTAGTTTTCTCATTGATTTGTTGGAGTTCTTTTATATTCTTGACAATAATCCTTTTGGTTGTGTTTCCCAGTTTTTAAATCTGTTTTCAGATATTTTTTGATGAATAACAGTTCTTAATTTGAATATAATTATATTTATATATTTTTAATAATCAATGTCTTTGTGTCTAGGTTAAGAAACATTTCCTATCTAAAGTCTAAAAAATTCACCTATATTTTCAGGTTGTCAAGTTGTTGTTTTTTTAATGGTGTGAGAGAAGGTTAAGGACTTTGTTTTCATGTGGATAATCATTTTTTTCTACTTGCATTTTCTGAAGAGTTGCTTCTTTCCTCATTATCTGACATATCACCTCTGTCATTTTCCAAAGCTCCATCTATGCACTGACTTGTTTCTGGGCTCTCTTTATACTCTATTATAATAGTCAGTATATCTATGCTTCTGCCACTGCCATATTTTTGTAATTCTTGCTTCAGAAGAAGTCCTGGTATCTGGTTATCAAGTTTCCCTTCCTGCTTTTTTCCTTTAGAAGCTGTAGCAGTCAGCCTCTAACCTGGCTTCTTGTACTGCGTAGTCACACCTTTGTGTAATTCCCTGTCCTTGAGTGTGCTCTGTGCTTATTGACTTGCTTGTAAGAAGTCAAATGAGACAGAAATGATGGGTTGTTACTTCTAAGACATTACAAAAGACTGTGGCTTCTATCTTGTGCACTCTCTCTCTCTTTCTTGTTCTGAAGGAAGCCAGCTGCCCTGTGAACTATCATTCAGAAAGGCTGAAAATAGAGGAGTAAAAGTAATTACTGATGGAGCAAGATTCTTATTCTCTTAAAATTTTTTTTTAATGTTTGTTTTTGAGAAAAAAAGAGAGAGAGAGAGACAGGGTGTGAGATGGGGAGGGTCAGGGGCAACGAGACACAGAATCCAAAGCAGGCTCCAGCCTTTGAGCTATCAGCACAGAGCCCAACATGGGGCTGGAACCCACGAACCATGAGGTCATGAACTTAGCTGAACTTGGACACTTTACTGACTGAGCCAAACCTAGGTGCCCCTGATGGAGTGAGATTCTTGAGAGATGGGGAGGGATGGATTCAAGAAAATAGTTGAAATTAATATTGAGCTAAAGGAGGAGGATCCCAGCTTCTGAGCTTGTGGGTCAGGAAGAAAGAACAGATGAAAACATAGCTATATTTGGCTAGGTATATAAGTATGGAAGAGAGGAGAGCGCCTTAAATTCCAACGTGAAGGGCTTTGATGAATACCTGTTTTTTCTAGTTCATCGTGATTGAAGTAAAAACAGCACTGGACTGAAGCCTTAACACCTGGGTTCTGGTCTTGGCACTGACACTTAATATTTTGTTTGATGATTGATGACATACTTAGTTTCTCTGGGTTTCAGTTTCTTTGTCCTTTATTGAGGGATTTAAATTGTCAGATCCCTTCGAAATCAAAGCTACTATAATTGGTTATTTTCATTGTTATATTCCATAAAACTGTATTAAGCTAATTTTTAGATTTCTATTAATATTTTTGTATGACTTTGTATAATTCATTATGAGAATTGTGTTTTGATATGTCAGGCTATTCACACCTTTCTCTGAGAGGCCCTTTATTTTGAGATTTTTCTGTGTGTTTGGGAATCACAAATAGCTGATAGAGTTGACATCAAATTTGATCACTAATACTTTCTGTTTTTCACTAGCATGATTTCCAAGCCTTTCTGTTTCTAAGAGACTTAATAACTCATTCCTTAAAACTATCCCTTTGTGTCTTTTAGTTACTGCAACAAATTATGCTAGCTAGTATTATTGTTATATTATTGTTTGGACAAGGAACTACCATTTGTAATTAACCTGAACTTAATCTTAAAAAATAAAACCGTAGTCTATTTGAATCAAAATGATTTCATAAGTCTAGAGGTACAAATTTGAGTCCTATTCTACATTTTTCCAACTGATGATTATTGATTTTCCAGCTTTATTACATAAAGCTTGTTTTCTTCTTTAATTAGAATTAGTTGGAAGGATAACTTAGTAAACCATTTTTACACTTTTGCATTTAATAACTCAGAGGGCTTAAGTCTTTGTATCTTGGTTTTTATATAAATATTCATAATTATGTTATGCACTAGAATAATAATATAGAAAATAGCATAAACAAGGCTCAGCACCTACTAGATTTATTACGCCTTTTATGGTATAAAATTTTCTCAACTCTAAATATGCAAATAACTTTTTAACAAATAAAGATTTGTGTGTGTGAATGAGAGTGTGTGTGTTTGATTTCGTTCGTCAGTCCTTAACAGGAATGATATTTTAGGTCACAGGCATACTTTTATCTATTTTTACTTTCATGAATACCTTATATATAAAATGTTATATATCTAACAGTAATGCTGTGATTTCAGACATTTGTGGTTAATGTAGGAATTTTCTTTCATTAGTAACATAGAGAAGAGAATTGTTGACTTTGAATCTTTGGCAGCTGTCCATAGGGAAGAAATTCATTGAGATATGTCCTGAAAGCATTTGGGTTGGACCTTGGGAGGGTAACTCACCATAGAAATATATATGAGAGCTAACAGCTCTTACTTCATTCAGTAATAAATCATCTACAAAAATAAATCACTGTGTTTACTTTTAAATGTCATTATTTGTCATATAATATTGCTGAGGCTTTTTAGTCTTCACTTACCAAATATTTATTGAGTGTTATGTGTCAGGCAGTGATCTAAGTGCTGGGAATACCACATTATTCAAGACAAACCCCTTTTTTGGTATAAGTCACATACATTATCTTAAGTTTCAGGTGTACAGTATAATGATTTGGTATTTGTATATACTGTGAAATGATCATCACAATAAGCCTAGTCAAGATATGTTACCTTATGTAGTTACAGAATTTGTTTTCTTGTGATCAGAACTTTTAAGATCTACTCTCTTAGCCACTTTCAGATATGCAGTATAGTATTATAAATTGTGGTTGCCATGCTGTACATTATATAATCCCCATAGTTTGTGTATTTTATTTATAACTGGAACTCTGTACCTTTTGACTCCCTTAACCCATTTTGTCCACTCCCCACTCCCTGCCTTTGACAACCACCAGTCTGTTCTCTGTATCTAGGAACTTTGTTTTGTTTTGTTTTTTAAGATCCCACATGTAAATGAGATCAGATGGTACTTAAGACATCCCCTTGAAAGTAGTGTTCTAGCACTAAATGTTGACTTGGAAAATAAATTTTATTTCTTTTTTTTTTTTTTTTGCTAATTGTTGGATGGAATCTAATAAAAACAATTCTCCTTTATTCTGAGATTTCATTAACTGTGTAATTTGGGACTGCCTCCACTTATTTTGTTGTTAGGTAATTGAATAACAAGGATAATGGAGTATGGAGAAGTACTTTATAGAAGGTTGTAGCAGGACCCAAAGGAAGGACAGGAAAAACCTCCTGAAGGTGGTGAGAGACCATGTTTTAGCAGGACAACTGCCAGTAGTTAAGCATGATTGCCTGGCTGTACACACGGTGTCTGGTTCAGAGTAGGTGCTTAATAATGTTGGGTAAGGCAGCGGATGAATAAATGAGTAAATACAACTCATGAGAAAGTAGGAAAGATGGGAAATGAGATGGAAAAGCTTACCTAGATCATGAAAGCAATCACTGATTTCAATTTTTCGCTATTAAAATTTGTACTGTAACGAAGAGCCTTGTATATCTTTGTTGTCATGTATGAGAGTTTCTCTAAGGTGGAAGTCTAGAGGTAGAATGGCTGGGACTTCTAGCATTTACATCTTCCCTTTTACTGGTTGTTAATAAATTGCTCTCCAAAAGGTTCTGGGTTTATAGTCTCGCAATATGTAAGTAGAAGAGATTTACTGACACATAACTGACAAATCCATAGTATATAAACAGCTTCTGTGACTCCAGGGAAAACAACCCCACAAAAATCATGGACAGAAACAGACAAGT